AGGAGGTCGAGCTTCTTGAGGAGCGCGGAAGGGCCTACACGCGTGCGCTAGGAGGTGTAAGGCGGAATAGGAGCCCACGAGGGGATTAGGTTCCTATATATGACTTCTAGCGACTGTCATGGACTCGTGCGCTTGGCGGTCGGCCGTTAGATGCGGAGGATTAAAGGACACCCAGCTAATTAGGCGTTGACAGGCTCTATCTTACTCCAGAGCAAGAAATGCGAGAATTCAGTGAACTAGCTCTTGGATTTCACAGGAAACTAGTTAGGGTTGGAAGTGGTCGCCAACCACCCGGTGGCGGCTAGGGTTTACACCCATCTACATCGATGCCTCTCCGGAATGGATCTGAGGTCCTTATAAGGGAAAAAAGGTTCAATGAATCCAATAATAAGAGTAGGATGTTCCTACCAGCTCTCTCAGAGCTCAGACACTCTCGGCCGTCGGATCAGTTTCCTTGATGCATTTTCGGCCAACCGATCGAGATCTGGAGAAGGCTGGGCCGTTGGATCTGGGATCAGCACTGCTGGAATGAATAGTTTCACTCCGTCCATGCCACCGCGCGTTATTTGTGTGATCCGCCGAGCGCATTTTCGTCATTTCACTTTATGGTGGTATAAAAGGGGGCCACGCCCGTGGAGAAACCTAGCCGGCTCCTCCTCCCTCCCGTAGCCGCATCGCTCTCTCGCACGCACCCGCCTCCCTTCCTTTTCCTCCTGCCCCTAGCGCCACCACTGTTGCCTCTTTCCCTGCCGCCGTCCTTCTCCTCCTCACCCGCCGCCGCCCGGCCTCCTCCCAACCCGCGCCTCCCTCTCCTCCTTCCCCGCCGCCACCCGGCCTACTCCCCACCCGGGCCTCCCTCTCCTCCTTGCACCCCTCTGATCTGGCGCCGCCAAACCCTAACGCCCCTCCCCGGCCCCGGCTCCCACGGGAGGGAAGGAGGAATGGCGAGGCGATGCAAAGGCGGCGGCGTATGGAACGCGGCGCGGGCGGCGTGGCCCAAGGGGCCGAAGAGGCGCGCCGGCATCTGCACGACCGGACGCGGGGGTGGGGGGCCGAAGAGGCGCGCCGGCGTCTGCGCGGCCGAACGCGGGGGGTCGGGAGGGGCGAAGAGGCGCGCCGGCGTCTGCGCGACCGGAAGAGGAAGGAGGTCGAGCTTCTTGAGGAGCGCGGAAGGGCCTACACGCGTGCGCTAGGAGGTGTAAGGCGGAATAGGAGCCCACGAGGGGATTAGGTTCCTATATATGACTTCTAGCGACTGTCATGGACTCGTGCGCTTGGCGGTCGGCCGTTAGATGCGGAGGATTAAAGGACACCCAGCTAATTAGGCGTTGACAGGCTCTATCTTACTCCAGAGCAAGAAATGCGAGAATTCAGTGAACTAGCTCTTGGATTTCACAGGAAACTAGTTAGGGTTGGAAGTGGTCGCCAACCACCCGGTGGCGGCTAGGGTTTACACCCATCTACATCGATGCCTCTCCGGAATGGATCTGAGGTCCTTATAAGGGAAAAAAGGTTCAATGAATCCAATAATAAGAGTAGGATGTTCCTACCAGCTCTCTCAGAGCTCAGACACTCTCGGCCGTCGGATCAGTTTCCTTGATGCATTTTCGGCCAACCGATCGAGATCTGGAGAAGGCTGGGCCGTTGGATCTGGGATCAGCACTGCTGGAATGAATAGTTTCACTCCGTCCATGCCACCGCGCGTTATTTGTGTGATCCGCCGAGCGCATTTTCGTCATTTCACTTTATGGTGGTATAAAAGGGGGCCACGCCCGTGGAGAAACCTAGCCGGCTCCTCCTCCCTCACGTAGCCGCATCGCTCTCTCGCACGCACCCGCCTCCCTTCCTTTTCCTCCTGCCCCTAGCGCCACCACTGTTGCCTCTTTCCCTGCCGCCGTCCTTCTCCTCCTCACCCGCCGCCGCCCGGCCTCCTCCCAACCCGCGCCTCCCTCTCCTCCTTCCCCGCCGCCACCCGGCCTACTCCCCACCCGGGCCTCCCTCTCCTCCTTGCACCCCTCTGATCTGGCGCCGCCAAACCCTAACGCCCCTCCCCGGCCCCGGCTCCCACGGGAGGGAAGGAGGAATGGCGAGGCGATGCAAAGGCGGCGGCGTATGGAACGCGGCGCGGGCGGCGTGGCCCAAGGGGCCGAAGAGGCGCGCCGGCATCTGCACGACCGGACGCGGGGGTGGGGGGCCGAAGAGGCGCGCCGGCGTCTGCGCGGCCGAACGCGGGGGGTCGGGAGGGGCGAAGAGGCGCGCCGGCGTCTGCGCGACCGGAAGAGGAAGGAGGTCGAGCTTCTTGAGGAGCGCGGAAGGGCCTACACGCGTGCGCTGTGAGGTGTAAGGCGGAATAGGAGCCCACGAGGGGATTAGGTTCCTATATATGACTTCTAGCGACTATCATGGACTCGTGCGCTTGGCGGTCGGGCGATAGATGCGGAGGATTAAAGGACACCCAGCTAATTAGGCGTTGACAGGCTCTATCTCACTTCAGAGCAAGAAATGCGAGAATTCAGTGAACTAGCTCTTGGATTTGAGAGGAAACTAGTTAGGGTTCCTATTACAAGAGGGAAGTGGTCGCCAACCACCCGGTGGCGGCTAGGGTTTACATCCATCTACATCGATGCCTCTCTGAAATGGTCTGAGGTCCTTATAAGTGAAAAAAGGTTCAATGAATCCAATAATAAGAGTAGGATGTTCCTACAAGCTCTCTCAGAGCTCAGGCACTCTCGGCCATCGGATCGGTTTCCTTGATGCATTTTCGGCCGACCGATCGAGATTTGGAGAAGGCTGGGCCGTTGGATCTGGGATCAGCACTGCTGGAATGAATAGTTTCACTCCGTCCATGCCACCGCGCGTTATTTGTGTGACCCGCCGAGCGCATTTTCGTCATTTCACTTTATGTTGTTATAAAAGGGGGCCACGCCCGTGGAGAAACCTAGACGGCTCCTCCTCCCTCCCGTAGCCGCCTCGCTCCCTCCTACGCACCCGCCTCCCTTCCTCTTCCTCCCGCCCCTAGCGCCACCACTGTTGCCTCCTTCCCCGCCGCCGTCCTTCTCCTCCTCACCTGCCGCCGCTCGGCCTCCTCCCAACCCGCGCCACCCTCTGCTCCTTCCCCACCGCCACCCAGCCTCCTCCCCACCCGCGCCTCCCTTTCCTCCCTCCACCCCTCCGATCTGGTGTCGCAAAACCCTAACGCCCCGCCCCGGCCCCGGCTCCCACAGGGGGGAAGGAGGAATGGTGAGGCGATGCAAAGGCCGCGGCGTATGGGACACGGCGCGGGCGGCGTGGCCCAGGGGGTCGGCCTCCTCGTCCCCTACGCCTCTCTCTTCTGCCCCCAGCGCATAGTTGCACTGCTCCTCTTCCTCTCTCGCGTCCGTCCCGGCGGCGGCGACGATTTGCAGGCAATGGGCGAGTCCCTGTAGGGGGGAGAGAGAGGATGAGGGCCTCTCGCGCTCGCTTGTGACCCTCAGTCGTGGCTAGGGTTTCGGGCTGGGCATTGCCTTCGTCGCCGGTGCAGCTCTGGTGGACTCCGGCGGCTCCTCTTCATCTCCTCCCTCGCCCCAACGTGAGGAAAAGAAGAAACGAAGCACCTCACCTGGCTCCTCAGAACGCAGGCACTTTTGGCTGTCGGAACCACTTCTCTATTAAGTAACTAGAGATACTTTTGAAGTAATTAGTAAGTTTGGTCCTTGCTTAGCCATATAATCATAGGACAAATATGTCGTGGTTGCAGTTGTTTGAATCCAGGTGATGCTTTTAGGTGCTTTGTGAAAGTAGCTACAGTTTCCTGTTTGAGATGGGGATATTCCCTAGATTAGCAAATGCACATTTGATTATGATGTTATGTTGTGTTGTTAGCATGTAGAAATATTAGTATAAGCTCCGCAGAGAAGAAAAGCCACGAATTTGTAGGAGCTGATTACATCATTTATTTGTGATGTTTATGGTTGTAGTGGTTGACGGCGACCATGTTCTCAAGACCAGTTCCGATGATTTGTATCTTTGTTGGTGCTCTAATAGAAAATGTGAAGGTTCTTCATGACCACAATGAGACATCGGTTTTGTTTACTTTTGAACATAATGAGTACATGTTGAAGGTTTCTCGTCCCGCTTCCTCTATAGCCCGTATGAGCTTTAGTCGGAACACTGCGTGTCGATGGTATATATATGTGGAACTACCTAAGGTCACAATCCTATATCATTTGTTGATTTTAAATAATATGGAAATGACCTAAGAGATCATGAAGTACTGTAGGA